CTGCCGCGGTCGCCTCGGCCGCCGCTCGAGCGGCGCCAACTTCTGCCCCTGCGGGCGGATTGCTTGAAGCATTCATGCGGCTAAAGCGCAAAGCGCCTTGGGGGGCGCACCGTGAATCGCTTTGGACTGCACGCATTGTTTTGGGTAGGCGTTGATATATTCGGCACAAATATGTATCATGTGGTGAATTATACGTTGGCAACGTGATACATATGCAGCGCGGGGCGCTGTCCGGTCTAAACGGTAACCACAGTCTAACGCGCGGGCTGCTTCAGCCCCTGCCCCACGCGCGCGCTGCGCTGCCGCAAGATTTATCCACCCCCGCAGCACTGGCCCCCAAGCGCGCTGTGTCGCCGCAGTTGCCGCAAGGCTAGGCCACGCTCTCAAGCGCACTGCGCTGTCCAGCAAGGCCATGGGCCACCCCAAAGCGCGCTGCGCTCGCTGCGCAGCGAGCACTGTCACCGCACGCGCTCGCGCTGTTAGTTTCTTTCCGTATAGCCATTTTGGTGCAAGGATCGCAGCGCGCCCCACTTCGTTGCAGTATTTATGGTTCGCCCTTTCCATATCGCTTGGCGGATGGCTGATGCCGCTGATCAGCGCGGGGCTCGACTCGCTGCCATGGTCGCTGCGCAGATGCAGACTATCGAGGAGCTGAAGGCCACGATCAGAAGGCCAGGGCGCATGATCAATCGCATCGCGGACATGGCGGGGGGGCATAGGGCCGCGGAACGGCGCGGGGCAGAGGCGCGCGAGCAATCGCGGCAGCGGGCAGAGGCCAACGCTCTGCAGCAGGAGCGTTAGAGGCAGGAGTGCGGCGGCAGGAGTGCTCGAGGATGAGGGCGGCTGAGCAGAGGCAATGGGCCGCAGAGGCGCGCGAGAGGAGGGGGCGCCTCCTTTTCGCAATTGCGGGGCGACCGATGAACCGACTATTGCTCCCGGCCTCCATCCGGCGACTGCTGCGGGCGATGGCGACCGCCAAGGAGATGGCGACCGTCGAGACGACGGCGACGGCCAAGCCGATGAGGCGCTTGCTGCGGGCGATGGCGACCGCCGAGGAAGCGATCTCGATCCATATCTCTGAGTAGGCCGCCGCGGCGGCGGCGCCGACGACGACGCAATGTCGGCGAGGACGAGGACGACGGCGGCGACGCAACTTCAACGAGGTCGGTGACGACCGCGACGACGACGACGCTGAATGTTGCAGCTTGAATGTTCTGTGTGTAGTTCCGTGCCCCCCCCGAGCGGACGGCGGTCAGTTGCGTCGCGACGCAGACCTCGCGGCTCCGTCGCGGCTAGGGGCGCCCCATTGGAGCACAGAGCTACGCGCTTGAAAAACGCATGGTCTGACGCAGCGCTATGCGCTTTAACTGTGCAGCGGCATGCGCTTCAAATGTATGGTCTGGAATCTGGAGTGCGGGCGCAGCGCTATGAGCTTAAAATGCACAGTCTGACGTTGCGCTATGCGCTTAATATGTACAGAGCTATGCGCTTCAAGCGTATGCTCTGGAATTTGGGGATCGGGCGCAGCGCTATGTGCTTAACATGTATAGTCTGAAATCTGGGGCAGTGCGACAGCGCAGTGCGCTTGAGTGATTTTTCCCGGAAAGGGCTTAAGCCCAGGGTTCTCTTTTAGTTTGTAAACTTAGTCCCCCGGTGCCTGCTTGAAGGAGGCCGGCGAATTTTTTCCCTGATAAATAACGAGGTCGAAGGAGGCCGGCGAATTTTTCCCTGATAAATAACGAGCCCGAGAATTAAAATTAGAGGATGTCTCGAGCGAAACGCTTGTTTTTGAGGCCGGCGAATTAAAATTTGAGGATGTCTCGAGCGAAACGCTTGTTTTTGAAATCCCGACCTCACCACACCCCAGCACGCACGACCACGCCCCAGCACAACCACCCCCCAGCACGACCACCCCCCCAGCACGACCACACCCCAGCACGACCACCCCCCAGCACGACCACACCCCAGCACGACCACTCCCTAGCACGACCACACCCCAGCACGACCCCACCCCAGCACGACCCCACCCTAGCACGACCACACCCCAGCACGATCACACCCCAGAACGACCACACCCCAGCACGACCCCACCCCAGCACGACCCCACCCCAGCACGACCACACCCCAGCACGACCACACCCCAGCAGGACCCCACCCCAGCACGACCCCACCCCAGCACGGCCCCACCCCAGCAAGACCACACCCCAGCACGACCACACCCCAGCACGACCTCACCACAGCACGACCACTCCCCAGCACGACCCCACCCAGCACGACCACACCCCAGCACGATCACACCCCAGAACGACCACACCCCAGCACGACCCCACCCAAGCACGACCCCACCCCAGCACGACCACACCCCAGCACGACCACACCCCAGCAGGACCCCACCCCAGCACGACCCCACCCCAGCACGGCCCCACCCCAGCAAGACCACACCCCAGCACGACCACACTCCAGCACGACCTCACCACAGCACGACCACTCCCCAGCACGATCACGCCCCAGCACGACCACGCCCCAGCACGACCACTCCCCAGCACGACCACCTCCCAGCACGACCCCCCCCCCAGCACGACCACCCCCCAGCACGACCACCCCCCCAGCACGACCACACCCCAGCACGACCACACCCCAGCACGACCACACCCAGTCGCACCCCCGTGGAATGTTTCGTGGGGTGTCTCGTGGAATGTTTCGTGGGGTGTCTCGTGGAATGTTTCGTGGGGTGTCTCGTGGAATGTTTCGCGGGATGTCTCGTGGAACGTTTCGCGAGGTGTCTCGTGGAATGTTTCGCGAGGTGTCTCGTGGGATGTTTCGCGGAGTGTCTCGTGGGATGTTTTGTGAGATGTCGCCCAGTTGGGTATCGTGAAAACGTGACCATGCTGCGCATGTCTATATCCCTTTCCGGGTTCGTGGGTCCATCATGTTTTCTTGACAGCGGCAATGCGCTAACGGCCCGATTCGCGGGCAAGAGTAACGACCCGATTCGCGGGCAAGAGCGATTATACAGTGCATCAGGCGGCTGATCTACTTCTTCCAGCTGGATTTCCAGCCGCTCGCTTTGACGCCATGCCCCTCCTCCCAGTCTCTCCGCTGCGCGGTCCACTCGGTCCCCCCATCCGACTGCGCAGGGTCCTCGGCGTGGCCAGCGCCGCTCGATGCCGCCGTCGCCACATTGCTGCCCAGCCGGGGCTTTTCGAGCTTTTCCAGGGCGGGCCCCAGCTTGCCCATGACGGACTCCAGCCTATCCAGCTTTTCATTCTTCTTCGTCAAGACCTGGTCCATCTTCACCTCCAGCTTGCCCAGGTTTGCCGTCTTCTGCAAGACCTGGCCCAGCTTCTTATCCAGCTCGCGCACTAGGGCCGTCACGGCCCCGACATGGTCCATCCCATTCATCAAGGCAAAAGCCCTGGGGTCATTCAAAGCCTCGCCCACTTTCTTCAGCACGAGCCCCGTCTACTCCTCGTTATGGGTGAAACTGGCGAGTAAGCTCCTTGTCGCGTCGCCATTTTGCGCAATTATCGAGTTCACAGAGAATGCGAGGTCAATGTTGTTGATCGGCCCCGCCGCCGCCGCCGCCGCCGCGTTCAAGCCAAAGGGCGCCCCCGACGGGGCGCCTAGCTTGCCCCCCCCCCCCCCCCCCCCCCCCCCCCCCCGCTGCGGCATTATAGGTGGGCCATGCATTTCCTGATGGCGACCCTGACGAAAGGGCGGCCGTTGCGAGCCCCCCGCTTCTTTTTGCCGCCTCTGCGGAAGCGTCGGCCGCTGGGGCTGCCGCTGCCGCCGCCCCCGCTTGCCGCCGCCCCCGCCTCCGAAGATCCTGCTGCCGCCGCCGCCGCCGCGTTTGCTGGCGCCTCCTCCGTCGGCGCTGCGCCATCCCACCCTGCGCCGCCGAGGCCATCGTCTTCGGGAGAGGTCGGCCCCCCATGCATGTCGGACCTTGCAACTATCTCGATGACGACATGTAACATTTTCCCAGCACTCTGGATGCTTTCTCTGCGCTGCCATTTTCCTTTTCCAAGTTTGCCTTGGTGCGCAGCAGGATCCAAGTTCTCCTTTGTAGCCGTCTTACAATTGCCTCTCTTCCTCGTGGACGGCGCGCGCGTCCAATGTGCCGAAACAGAGCCCGAGCTGACCGCGCGCTTGCGCCGCGGCGCGTTTCGCTTCGAGCCATCTTTGAGCACCAATATCTCAGGGCAGTCCGCCTCCGATACCTCGTTGTACTCCCCGGCCCACGCCTGAGCTCCACTCGGCTCGCTAGCGGCAGCGGCCACCATCGCTGGCTGGTTCTGGTTCGCTGGGCGAATTTTTAAGGCTCCAAATGCTCGAGCCTAGGTTGCCGAAGGGAGTGCGGGGAGGTTCATGCATGAATCAGCTCAGCCTGGGCCCTTTTTGAGGGCGGTGGCTCGGGGGGAGGAGGGGATCCCCATCAGCATCATCATCACCATCGTCATCATCATCATCATCATCATCGCCATCACCGCCACTCATCTGTTTACTCGCTACACAGCCATGTGCATTGCGAGGACGTCTCAGGCGGGTGCCCCCCCCGCCCCCCTATGGGACACGCGGGTCATGTTATTAATCTCGCGAATTATCCTTCCAAGCGCAGTGCGCTTCCCCCTACTCGTGGGCAAGGTTGCATTTCTTCCGCGGCTGTCGCGCGCGGTCCAGCCCGTCGACCGCGATTGGCTCAGCGCGCGCCCTCTGCAGCGATTTTCGCTGCAGCGATGGAGGCCATCACGGCCCATTCTGGTCAAGGTGGAAAAAGCTTCGCAGAGCTGATATCATCGCTCGGCGGCTTACCCACCTCTGCCGCAGGCCCCGAAGCAGGGCCAGGCCCCCCACCCCTACCGAGGCCGGTGGGCGCCCCCATGACGCTCGGACCAGCACCCGAGAGCACGCAAAGCCTGCAGAACAGGAAACCAGAGAATCCGATGGCGAACGATGCGCTGCACAAAATCGCAGCCATGATGTCAGAGAGGGGGGGGTCCATGACTCGAGTCAATCAGCTGAAGGGGAAGGAGATGAAGCAGAAGGACTTTGCGCCTACAACCCTGCAGCAGAAGCTGGTCGAGCCACTTGCCAGGCACGTACCAGAGGCAAAGGCTGCGCATGCATGGCAGGAGCCGTTGAAGCAGGACCAGGTCTCGGAGCGGAAGTGGGTCCACGAGGGCCAGGCGCGCCACCGTGAACAGTGGGCGCAGGACGACGAGGCGCAGGGCTGGAAGTGGGGCGAGCGGCGGGGCGAGGCGCAGGGCGAGGGGCGAGCAGTGGGGCGAGGCGCAGGACGAGAAGTGGGACGACCAGCGGGACAAGGCGCAGGACGAGAAGTGGGACGAGCAGCGGGGCGAGGCGCAGGACGAGAAGTGGGGCGAGCAGCGGGGCGAGGCGCAGGGCGAGACGCGCAGGCAGCAGCGTCATCAGCGGCGCGAGGCGGTGCACCAGCGCCAGCAGGCTGACATGCAGAAGTGGCTCGCGGACGAGAAGGAGCAGTGGCTCAGCTGGAAGTGGGGCGAGGAGCAGCAGGCGCAGAAGCAGAAGTGGCCCGCGGACGAGTGGAAGCAAAATCAGCAGTGGTTCCGCTCGGGGCGGGGCCGAGAGCAGCAGGCGCAGGAGGCGAAGCGGCCCGCGGACCGCGCGGAGGGTGAGTGGAAGGAGCACGCCAATGAGCACTTGCAGGGGTCCGTGGGCAAGGCCCAGTACTATGCCTGCGACGCAGGAAAAAGCATATGGCAAGCCAGGCCGTCAACTTTGAATGTATCCGGGTGGCAGCGCTGGCACCAGGGGCAGTCCAAGGTGTTTGAGGCTGCAGCCACATGGCATTCATTGCCAGGCCTGTCAGGCGACTGGGCAGTCCGACGTGGAGTAGGTGAGACAACGGGTTCCTCCAGACCAGTGGGGGGCATTGCAGGGAGGACCTCGTCAGGGCGATGCCGAGACATGGACGCGTGCGCATCAGCTGATGCGTAGGTTATGGACGACGTTTTCGGAGGAAGGCCATGAGGCTGCACAGCTGCCGATGATGCCACCACAATACCGCGGAGAAGAAGGCGGTGCATGAGGCGGCGGAGGACGCGATGGTGGAGAACAAGTCCAATAACCACGTCAGAAGGGGCGGAGGCAGCAGCGCGACGACAGGTTCAAGGATTGGCAAACTGTCAAGCACGCCGCGGAGCGTTAAGGATGGTGGACTCAGTTCCTGGCAGAGAACCCCGACCCGCGGTGGCGCAACTAGATGAGGCGCAGCCGTAGGCCTGCCAATGACTTAGCGCGCGCGCTGTATATCTACTGCTTAGCGCCTGCGCTTCAATGCGCTTGCTGCGCTGCACTGTAAGCGCGCAGAAAAGCAACGTGGCCTTCCCAAGCGCTTTGCGGTGTAATCCTAACCTCCCCCCTCCCGAGCGCACTGCGCTATGCTCTTAAGCTCGTGGCACCTGGCGGCAGCGACGAGACGAGGGAAGCGGGGGAGCGAAGGGGTTGATGTTATTGAGGAGAGGCCAGGCGTGAGGAAGAGCTGGAGCTGGGAGGACAGCGCAACGCGCTCGGGATCAGAGGATCGGATATGAAGGGCCCAGGCTAAGCGCTAAACGCTAAGCGCCAAGCGCTACGGGGGGGTGGGATGAATCATTTTCCCTGCTGGCGAAAAGCAGCGCTAACGCTATACGTGCGCAACGCAGCGCAGGCCACCAGCGGCCCGATCGCTCCGCCAGCATCGCTGAATTTCCGCATCACTTGCACCCGTCTGGGACCCATTTCCTCGCCGCCGACATCGCCGCGGCCATCGTCTTGAACTCGCGGCCCTCCGCCCCCCCCCATCGGAAGCCCTTGTGCAACAATGCGCTTGGTTGGATGGGGCGCGAAGCGCATGCAGCGCAACGCGCTTGGCAAGCGCTTGGCAAACAAACGACAAACAAAACGCTATGGGGGGGCAGACATAACGCAACAACATAAAAAGACGTGGCTGACCAAAAAAAACATCTGCATTCGCAGCGCGATTTATTCTAAATGGCAAACTTACGGGAATGAGAATGGTTGAAGATAGGGGGAATTTAGGGAATAGAGTGGTTTCAGATAGGGGGAAAGTAGTTTTCAAAAACAAATCATTGAAAACACGATGAAAAACGATCTTCGACAACTTCAACCTACTTCCACAATCTCAACATAACTACCGTAACTGAGTTGTGCACATCTCAGGACGAGTCATGGGCCAAACTTTAGTGGGCCCTGTAAACGACAAGACAGGGCAATTTTTGTTGCCAGTAACGTTTTGCGTTTTTTCCACGGTTCCGATGCCGTTGTTTTGCTGGTTCCATCGCCGCCTTTTTACCGGTTCCGGCTCCGGTTCCAATCCTGGAGCCGTTTTTGTTGCCGTTTCCAGTCGCCGTTTTTTCCCGGAAAGGGCTTAAGCCCAGGGTTCTCTTTTAGTTTGTAAACAAGTCCCCCGGTGCCTGCTTGAAGGAGGCCGGCGAATTTTTTCCCTGATAAATAACGAGGTCGAAGGAGGCCGGCGAATTTTTCCCTGATAAATAACGAGCCCGAGAATTAAAATTAGAGGATGTCTCGAGCGAAACGCTTGTTTTTGAGGCCGGCGAATTAAAATTTGAGGATGTCTCGAGCGAAACGCTTGTTTTTGAAATCCCGACCTCACCACACCCCAGCACGCACGACCACGCCCCAGCACAACCACCCCCCAGCACGACCACCCCCCCAGCACGACCACACCCCAGCACGACCACCCCCCAGCACGACCACACCCCAGCACGACCACTCCCTAGCACGACCACACCCCAGCACGACCCCACCCCAGCACGACCCCACCCTAGCACGACCACACCCCAGCACGATCACACCCCAGAACGACCACACCCCAGCACGACCCCACCCAAGCACGACCCCACCCCAGCACGACCACACCCCAGCACGACCACACCCCAGCAGGACCCCACCCCAGCACGACCCCACCCCAGCACGGCCCCACCCCAGCAAGACCACACCCCAGCACGACCACACCCCAGCACGACCTCACCACAGCACGACCACTCCCCACACGACCCACCCAGCACGACCACGCCCCAGCACGACCACACCCCAACGCACACCCCAGAACGACCACACCCCAGCACGACCCCACCCAAGCACGACCCCACCCCAGCACGATCACACCTCAGCACGACCACACCCCAGCAGGACCCCACCCCAGCACGACCCCACCCCAGCACGGCCCCACCCCAGCAAGACCACACCCCAGCACGACCACACTCCAGCACGACCTCACCACAGCACGACCACTCCCCAGCACGATCACGCCCCAGCACGACCACGCCCCAGCACGACCACTCCCCAGCACGACCACCTCCCAGCACGACCCCCCCCCCAGCACGACCACCCCCCAGCACGACCACCCCCCAGCACGACCACCCCCAGCACGACCACACCCCAGCACGACCACACCCCAGCACGACCACACCCCAGCACGACCACACCCCAGCACGACCCGATCGATAAATCACAGGGTGCGGACACCCCAGCACGAACCCACCCCAGCACGACCCCACCCCAGCACGACCCCACCCCAGCACGACCACGCCCCAGCACGACCACACCCCAGCACGACCACACCCCAGCACGACCACACCCCAGCACGACCCCACCCCAGCACGAGCCCACCCCAGCACGACCACACCCCAGCACGACCACACCCCAGCACGACCCACCCAAGCACGACCACACCCCAGCACGACCACGCCCCAGCACGACCACTCCCCAGCACGACCCCGCCCCAGCACGAGCCCACCCCAGCACGACCACACCCCAGCACGACCTCACCACAGCGCGACCCCACCCAAGCACGACCCCACCCCAGCAAGACCACACCCCAGCACGACCACACCCCAGCACGACCTCACCACAGCGCGACCTCACCACAGCACGACCACACCCCAGCACGACCACGCCCCAGCACGACCACGCCCCAGCACGACCACCCCCCAGCACGGCCACCCCATCAGCACGACCACCCCCCAGCACGACCACCCCCCAGCACGACCACACCCCAGCACGACCACACCCCAGCACGACCACTCCTCAGCACGACCACACCCCAGCACGACCACACCACAGCACGACCACACCCAGTCGCACTCCCGTGGAATGTTTCGTGGGGTGTCTCGTGGAATGCCGTCGTCGTCCTCGTCCGCGATGTGCTTTGGTTGAGTGGTTGCCTGTTCGTGGGGTGTCTCGTGGAATGTTTCGCGGGGTGTCGCGTGGAATGTTTCGTGAGGTGTCTCGTGGAATGTTTCGTGAGGTGTCTCGTGGGATGTTTCGCGGGGTGTCTCGTGAGATGTTTCTTGAGGTGTCGCCCAGTTGGGTATCGTGAAAACGTGACCGTGCTCCACATGTCTATATCCCTTTCCGGGTTCGTGGGTCCATCATGTTTTGCCCTTCTCATATTCAAGATTTGTTCCGGAAGCGGGAAAAAGAACTGCCCTGCCGTTTCCAGGGCCCACTATCAACCACGCGCAGAAGGGGGTGAGGAGAGGGGGGCGGGCATCTTCGAAGCACCCCTGCTTCTTAAGAGGCGCGGGCCGGATCTATAGATCGAAGGCCGGCGCTTTCTAAGAAGCAGCCTCCTTCTAAGAAGCCCTCCCCCCTCCCTCCACCCTTTTGTGCGCGCCGCCAGAAAGGGTTCGGGATGAACATCCTGCCCATTTGGAAAGGGTCGGGGCCTCAAGGGGCTGCACAGGGCTCGATCCAAGCGGTGTTTTGGCGATCTCGTGGTCCGTTTTGTTCGTTTTGTTTCCTTCTGCAGCAACGGCGAAGCGAAGACCGAACGATGGAAAGGAACAGAAATCGAAGACGGGCAACACTGTTCGGGTCGAGCCCTGGGGCAACGTATTGCAGAGATCAAGACGTCGCATGTCTGGGACGGATGCTGTGCACCCCCGTCCTTGGTGCCCAAAGCCGGCTGGCCAGTGGACCTGTAATTGATGCATCTTGTTTTCTTACGCTCAGTGCCATCGAGTCAGGTGTTCCGACTTGTTGAATAAGCGTGGCAGGGACGGATTGCGCGGGGGTATGAGTGAGCTGTCCTTCGTGGGCGTGGGGGGCCTGGGTCGCGCTAGGGAGGGGGCTCGGTGTGCGTGGGGGTGGGGGGCGGGATGGGCCGTCGGGCGGGGTGGCGTTGGGGGGGCCGCTTATTGAGCAATGCGGAATACCACGTGCCGCTTCCGCGCTGGACAGATTTGCGCGAGAGATAAGCTGGCGAGCGCCACCTTTCTGCTCTGATTCGAGCCTAGGTCTTCCTGAGTGTACTCGTCAGTTTAGCGCAATTCGACTAGACCTGGGCGTGGTAGCAAAGTTGCTGCCGTCCACTGTAGATCGGCCCTCGCCGGCTGCATGATGTTTTGTTCGGCCGTCCATGCATGTCGTAATTAGGTTTAGCAGTTCGCCTACGCCAGGCTGTGCGTGACCAGCGGCGCACATGAAGTTGTGCCTTCGTCCGTTCTCTGCGGTATCCGCGCTCGTCTTCACACATTGGCAAAGTGCAGAATTTGCAAGCGTGGATAAAATGTTCATGTTGATAGACCCATCGGTCTACAAATTTGTGGGCCGTTTTCTCGGGCGCAGGGAGCCCCCCTGCAGGCGACGTTGGCTCGCATTACCGGCGCGCGACTCGCAAGGAAAAGGCGTTTCAC